CCACGAAAGAGGCTTTAGAGGAGCCGCCGTCATCGGCGTCCCCTTGACTTAGACTTTCTTTCCCTTTCAAGTTTGGTGTCCTCCATGGTCTCAGTTCTCTTTTTTCTACAATATCTGATTTTTTAAGCCCATGGAGAGAAGAGGAATAAGATATATAATACAAACCTCGATACTCTCTAGAAGAAAACAATATCTGTATAAAGTAACAAAAATCACAGAAGTTTTAAGCATCCTGTTTCTCCTCACAACTGCACTGTCGGCCAGGAACACCGAGCACCTGAATACAACCAGTTGTGTCAAAACAGGCTAGAGACACAAAATGCGAAGCCTCGATACTTTCAGCAATGAGTTCGGAATATCTCAGTCACTCTCTGTAATGAGCCTGTGTTAGAATGGTCATATTGGGCTATAGTAATATAAGATGCATGACTGTAAAACGTTTCCCCGTAGTTCCTTAATGTCGCAATGAGATTACCAGATAGTATAGAATTACCTAAGACTTAATATTGCATTTTATTTTAGTACACACACAGACACTCATTCTCTCTCTCACATATGTGTGTGTGTGTGTGTGTGTGTGTGTGTGTGTGTGTGTGTGTGTTTACCGTGCAATTCCCGAGATCAAACTCAGCTATTTGGGTTTAGCAGCAAGTGTCTTTATCAGCTGAGCCATCCGAGGTCCTCTCAGATGACCCATTTATAAGAACAATGCAGCCCTTTGTTTGCCAGTGTTTAATCCATTATTATTTTTCCACCCTTGGATGTAGTCATTTAAATAAAAATAAAATATTCATGGAATTCAACAAGACCTGTTTCCTGGGGACACATGAGAAACAAACAGTGTTGAAAAGAATTCTTAGCTTTATCGCTAGTAACACTAAATAAACAACACGCTACAGTCCTACAGACACAAACACATGCCAGGAGAGCCGACCGGCTTGGTGTGTGCTCATGGAGGGTGGCATTTGGCTCCTGTTATCAGGACAGTGTTTTGAAAACCACCACACTGTTCAGAAGTCACTGTTTTCCACGGTCAGTGTGAGCAGACCAAGGGTACCCCGGATGGAGAGACTGAGATGCTTCGCTTTCTCAGTAAGTGCATTGACTGCTGTGGACGACCTGCATGTGACCTGTCATAGGTAGTCCTGGCGAAAGGAAGTGATGGCTGGGAAGGCAATTAGTCTCCTTGCCCTTGCAACCTCTTATTCAAGGCTAACAGTAACTACATGCCTGGAGCTCTCTGCATTTATTAGGATATGAAGTCAAGAAATGCTAAGAACATTCGTGACTTTCATTCCAACTTCCCCTTACTATGTTATCAAAGTACCCACTTTGTAGGCATTTGCAGCAACTGCACATGTATGACTTGTCAATCAAGAGTAACTTAAAAACATGATGCCCATTATCCCTTGATTGGTTACTTCTCATTTCGCTGTGATGGACTACGTAACACAATGAAGCGTAAGTGAGACAGTCTTCGTTCTGGCTCACAGTTCAAAGAACTACATTCCATCATGGGTCATGACAGGGAAGCCTTGGTGGCAGGACCAGGAGGCCAGGTCATGCTGCACACACAGTCAAAAGGCAGAAAGTGAACAGCTGGCTTATAAACCCATCTTGTCACCCATTGCTTTGACTTTCTTCCTCCAGCAAGGCTCCACCTCTACATATTCCACAACTTTCCCAAATGGTACCAGCAGCTCAAGACAATTGTCCAGACACATAAGACCATGGAAGAGATTTCATATTCAAAGCATACCAATCCTACATACTTGATATGGTTTCCCAAATAATAAGGACATTCTCGTCCATAATTCTTACCATCATAGTTACAAAAAATCAAGGGAATAACATTTGCATGTTTATAAAACACTAAGATTCTATCTTATCTATTGATCTGCAAATTTTTGAGTTGTCTCAAAACGGTCACTTGTAGCATGAAAAAGGGTACGCTTTAAGAACCAGTTTGGAGTAAGTATTATACCTGATAGATGTATTTATATGTTGTTGGATGAAGCAACTTTATTTAGACACACATACATATCACATGATTGTAATATTTGATAGGTCAAAGCCAGATTTTTGTAAGATGTTTATCTGGGCTTGAGTGATATTTCCGTATGATGAGATTGGTTATAATTTTTTGGTGGGTTGTCATGGAAACCCTGCAGCATCCTCAGAAATGAACAGAAATCTGGTTCATTACTATTGAAGTCATGATACACTGCTTGGTCATAGGTTCATAGTAGGGTTCTTCACTGTCAAGGTGCAAGTTTTCCACATGCACTAAATAACTATTATCTTGATAAGTGTCATGAGAATGTCAATATCCTGGTTGTCATCAAATACAGTTGATAAGTTGACCACCCAAGGAGCATGTTTGTGTCATGGAGTTTTCAGTGCAATGTTGCCAAATCTCAACACTCTATTAGATTTTTCTGTTAATATTTTAGTTGGCCTTTTTGTTTCATTTTTTATTTTAATGTTAACATATGCTCATTAATTCTTATCTGACTCAATGCTCAATAATATGCTACTTCTTACCATCTCCTGGCAATCAACTTCTCCATTTCTGCAGGGAGCCCACTCCAAGATGGTCCCCGTGTCCTGCCAGATCATCATCCATCTTTGGACACCCCCTTCCTTTCTAAAACTAGCTCCTTCAATCTGACCTCACACCGCCTTTTCTTTATCCTAGAATTATCATTTCTCCCAGAAACACTGGCTTCCCACAGTGGAGACTTCTGTTTATAAATAGTGTTTACTTTCCTGCAATGTAATACTTCTAGAACCCCCAAACCCTGAGAGCAAGGAAAGGGAAAAATAAACACACCTGTGTCTTGCATGCTTCTCTGAACACACTTGCACACCTACTGTGTGCCTGTGTTAGCATGTGTGCACATAATCAGGAGTGTGCAGATGCATAATTCCATGAGAGTCCATGCTTTCATAGATGTGTATGCATGTGAGAGATAGGGGACCGCTGCGAGCACAATTTACCTGTTATTTGTAAGTGGAGGCAGGGTCTCTACTGGCCTGGAATTCATCAAGTCGGCTAGACTTTCCAGGTAGTCAGCCAAGGCCCAGTGGTCCATTCACCTGACTCCAGTCCCCTAGTATGAGATTACAAGTGGATGCCACCACTCCACCTTATCACATTGGTTCTGCAATTGAAGGCAGGCCCGACAGAGCCATCTCCCCAGCTCACAGCCCATGCGTCACATGAGAAGTTAAATACTGTGTGATACTATGAGAATAGAAATGAACATATTGTACATTGGATGGTCTATATTCCATAAGATTATTTATAACAAGCTTTAAAATTCTGTTTAAATTTTTGTTTTAAACTATGGCTTGGTTTTCAGTAAAAATTAAATTATATGTATTTATAAACACAACATGATTTTATTATAAGTGTATACATTGAGGAATAGCTTCAAGCTATATAATCTGTGCATTACCTGACACAGTTATTAGTATTTGGTGCAAAAAGCATTTAAAATCTGTTTTCAACTATTTTAAAGTACATAGTACAGTTATTAAAACACAATACAGTTATTAAACTGCATTTAAGAAGCTGCACGTGAGGTCTCTCCAAGTTATTCCTGCAGTCTAACTGAGATTGTGCCTACTTTGGCTAAGGTCTTTCCAGCACTTCTGCATCTTCCCAGCCTTATGGAGCCACCATTCTATTTTCTGCTACTTTGAACTGGTCATTTTTAGATCTACAAATAGGTGATATCCTTCAGTCTCTGTATTTCTGTGACTCTTCTGTTTAACTTAAGAGCATGTCCGTAGCTTGCTGATCATTCCAACAGCTTATTAATAAGCTCTCAGATTACAACCTGTCAGCTCAGCGAAAGCTATACGCTAAACTGCAGCGAGCAGGAAGTTTGTTGCCCAACATGATAAAACTATATTAAAGATTTATCCATTGTCATCACTTAAAAAGCAAAAGCTATATGCGACTGTGGAAAATTAGCTGTGCATCAATCACCTCCTTTGAAAGCTTTGGTCATTCATACCTGGATAGCATATGGTTAAGGTAATTTGTGGCCACTTTGTCAATGAAGAAACTGATAATTACTAATAAGCCAGGAGCTAGATGACAAGTCCAGTGATAGGGACAGCAATATGAGCTGATTATGGAGTTGTCTTATTTTAAGACACTGGCAAATGAAAGGTGGATCTGATCTGAAACTCTAGCTCTAGTATTTATCAATGTTCATACACACTAGCATTCTAGATGGAAAGGGTCAGCTTCTCTCCAGTAATTCCTTAGAGCATAGGACACTAGGCTATTATTAAATTGTTTAAAGCCTTTTCCCCCAAAATGTTATAAAAACCCAGAGATTCCAACACAATGCGCAAAAAGCCTGGGAACACTGTTTGGGGTGTTATGAATATATTCCTCATTTTCCCTCCTAGGAGTCCCTGCCTGGCACACTTTCCTAAGAGAATAGATCGAGAAAAGAAGCTTTAGTGATCAGATCTTCTATTAAAATAAATAAACACAAGGACGTCAAGCTCAGTCTCCAAGTGGCAACAGAAACAAATTTCATTTTTAAAGGTTAATATATTCTCTTCGCTTTCTGAGGCTTTTAACCCACAAAATCACTGTGATACATGATAAACAAAGGAGAAGAGGATATTTTATAAAACATGATAACTAGTAGATGCATCAACACCTGCTCACACTAGAGGAAAGAGATGCTTCCAGGCCTCAAGGGATGTCCCTGGCACTGTTGTCATCTGATGAAGAGAAAGCCAGGATGATGTCCAGGGAGTGGAGAGACCACATCCAGGAGGCAATGACTAACCGGAAATTAAAAGAGGGAGGTGATGACTCACATCCGGTCAGGTAGCTAAGTGTCCTGGGGCCTGACCACTGAGGAAATGAACCCTGTTGATCCTGGTCAACAACTTTGCATGCATCTCTTTTCAGCTCCTTGACACGAAAAACAAAAGCTAAAATAAACAAATTAATAAATTACACCTACCTGGATGAGAGACAGATCTTCAAGCTGTAATCTGAAGAGATAGTTCCTGCAAAATAAAACAGAGAGTACGTTACCTTTAATAGGTCCCAAAATGTCAAAGTCTATAAGCATCACGGGAATGACTGAAAAAAAAAAAAACAGGTAATGATGTGGGAGACAAAATACCATCCTGCTACTAATATGGCAAATAACTCTCTGAAACAGAGAATAAGAGCATCTGACTTCTCAGGGGATGTGCACTTGGGACTGGTAAGAGCTGTGGACTATGCAGCGTATATGCAGGAAGCAGACGTAAGCTCTAATTGCCTGTTAGGGTTGTTGTGAATTAGGAAGTGGCTGTGGGCACTTGACTCTGGAGATAAGTTTAATGTCAAGAGGATGAAACACAACTCTTCTTCGAGGGTCTACTCTTGCCTCTTGTCAGCATCTATTGGTTTGATTCTTAGGCCCTGACTCCAACCTGTGTCCCAGCATCTGTCTTGCTGATTGGGTTCAGCTTAGACGCACAAACTTATCAGTTTGACAAGGAAATTGAAACTGCCAATAATTTGATCAGCTTTGCAGCTCATATATGATACAGAAATCAGAGACAAGAAAACTACCAGTTCCAATAAGGGATGCCCAAGGAACACAGAAGAGCACAGACAAAGGAAAATATAAATATGATGTACAGCAGACTCTGAACTTATAGCTTTTGGGGGGTCTCTACAGCAAGTCATACTTCTGCCTCCAGATAAAATCATGAGAGCCTCAAAACATCAGGAAGAGGAGGCACTGTGGCAGTAGAAACCCCCTTAGAAGAGGTGACAGGCAATCCAAGTATTCCTCAACACCTCAGAAGAGGGCTGAACACAAAGGAAAGCCCACCTTTAGATGCAAAAAGTCAGGAGATGTGGAGACGTCAAAGGACAAAGAATGTAATAATAGCTTTGTTTAAGGTTACTTCTGTGGCATGAAGAGAGAAGTAATCCAAACATCAATAAGAAACAAATGTAGGTAACTTTACTGTTGGGGAAGGAAGGGTGTTATGTATATACAAACTGAGAACATACAGACGGCTCCAGGAATGGAGACAAGCACCAGCCAAAGCAGGTGAAGGGCATAGTTTTGATGGCACCATTCCTGCAACAGTAGACAGAAACAGGTAGACAGAACACTGAGGAAGAAGCTATCCAGTTACACAGGTCCTGGTGGGGAGCAGGGACTGGGGAGATCACGAGTGCTATAGACCAGGAACTGAGAGCTACCAGGTTTTTCAAATGGTTTCTGAAAATTCTTCTTCAAATCACAATTGTAACCTGTCCACTGTATTTCTTTTGTCTCTTCAATTTTTTCTTTTGATATGCTATGGGAGAAAGTTCTAGAAACCTTGGTTAGCTTATGCCCCCATATGCAACAGCAGCAGACTTGGAACATTTTTGAAGAAAGGGAGCACTTTAGGTGGTTACCACAAAGAGACCAGGTTTCCAAAAGTAATGTCATATGAAGGGGACAAAGGACATCCCACATGTGTGGAAAAGAAGAGGACTATGGAAACATTCAGATTTTCTGAGTATGTGCTCCCATGTGGACACTGACAGCATGACAGTCCTAGAAAGGAATCTACACCCAGTTGAGAACCTTAGACAAGACACTTACCAAAGGCAGGAGGGCTAAGTCCAGCCATAGCACCCACATGGCCTCGCTAAGCCCATCTGCTCCCAAGACACAGGATCTCCGACTTGGTGCCCTGATTGCAGAAGGCTTCCCTTCTGTAAGTGCAGTGACCTATGGGTTAGGAATGCTCGTACAAAAGCTATGACTGTGCAGGCAAACAAACTTGCCAAGAAAACTGAATGACTGTGTTCCAGTCTCCTTGCCTATAAAATGAAGTCAATAATCATCTTCCATCACTCCCTACACTTAGGGAAGTTTTAAGTCTAGACATAAAACACACAACCATGATTGGCCCATTGTAAGCATGCAATTGGCAGTCCAAATGTCTAATCCATTTTTGAGAGTGATTGAGAGCTCTCAAGGCATTAAAGTTCTCTGCATATGTTCCACTGTGTAGAGGAATGGAGGGGGATCAACATCTGAGCACAGACAAAGCCAACAGACTCTGGCTGGCTCCCTGCTGAGTTGTTGGTAGGAATGGGAGTGGTGCCATTGAGTATTCAGAGACATTGCCTGCTTCTCTCGTCATTGGTTCTGAGACCAGAAGCTTTTCTTTTCTGACTTAGTAGTCATTTCAAGAAATATGTTCAAGTAAATTACTTCAAGTATTAGTAAAGCTTTAAGACTGTCATATACACAGACATCTTCATGTTCATAATACAGTACTAATTTCAGGGGACATCACAGAAAAATAGACCCGTACCCAAAGAAAAAGTGACAAACTCCAGGGACGTTAACAAATGCAGATAGCGGTACCCATTTGATACTCTGAAGCTCTGGGCACAATGGCTGGGAAGAGGAGTCCAGAGCCCTTTCTCTATTTGAAGCAGGGATGAGAGGAGTGTACTGAGATCACCCACTACAGTCTCTGCCTCCAGGTTTCAGTGCTTTTCATAAAGGAAGGCACACATCTCAAAATGACCGTCCACATCATTCTAAACAAATTCAAATGTCTAAACTATTTTGTCTGCTTCTCACCCATTGCTAGCCTTTCAACTCACCCCAACCCCCTTGAGACACTGCCAGCCAATTTCAATATCTGCTTCTTTTCAAAGCACCTGAGGACTATGGCTCCCTTCCCACCATCTCCTAGATAATTAATTTATATAGCAGGGCTACTTGGCAAGCGATAAAAGGGGCGGAGAGGAGATGATGTCTCCTAGGAACATCACTCGAGTCTTTGTGAGTGCCGCCATCATCCCTACCTCTACTCTGCTGCCCTGAAAAAGCATCAAGGAAGACATGGCTTGTCCCTGGGTAGTACTTCCTGAGTTTTAACAGGGGTACTGAGGATTCTTAACTCATTTTCAATCATGTCTTAATCTAAAGGGGAGCCATTGGCTACCAATCTTCTGGAAGCAAGCCAATAAGAACCAAACACCTCCTATTTGTAGAGGAGAAAGTCTCCACCAATGGAAAGATGCAGTACAAATAGTTCGTGGTTGTAGATTCAGAGGAAAACCCTATCTTCACTTTTATCTGTGTCTTGTGGCCTTTACAATCAACCATCCAAGTTCCTCTTCCTCACTTCACCTACACCAAACAGAGAGACAGGCAGCAGCCCTTAGGATGCGGTCAGCTCTCATCTCCAATCAGCATCCCCAGACACATGGACACATCACTAGAAGATGATCAGGCCCTGGTGCTGCTCATGAAATGCATTTGCTTCCAGGCCATCGCCTTCACCTCTGTGACTATAACCTGGCTGTGACATACATCTCTTCACCGGGAGAGCAGCTTGGTATGAACGATCTGATTACACAGAGCCCCCCTCCACCTTCACTGCTTTCTTAAGTTATTTTCGAAGCTGCCTGCCCTCATCTGATGTCAGCAAGGACCAGGCTCTGCACCTAAGAAACTAGAGTCAAAACACACAATCTGTCAGCCTACTCAAGTAACTGACAATCCTTTAGCTTTTATCTTTTTTGTTTTTGGAGATTAACCTATAGTTATACTTTCCCCTTTTCTTTTCCTCCCCTCAGGCCTTCCCATGTACATCCCCTTGTTTTTGTCCAAATATGTAACATTGAACATTTTAGTCCTCTTCAACAACAATCCCCACCTATTTGAAAGATATTTTATAAAATGAATCCCAAGTGAAGTGCTGATGGGATTTCTTTAATCCCCTCCTCTGGACCAAAGGATCTGAAAAAACATTTTGGACCCTGCTAACCTCCAACTTCTTTTTCAAACTGCTTTTTTTCCCCAAGAACAGACTTAAGACTACTTTGGCTGCACAAAAATTCCATTCCAATCCGGCTGAGAAACAAGAAAAACCTTAAATCTCTCAAGACAGCTTGATCTATTACAGTTTAGGTCAGTGACCTATGAAGTTAAAGGTTACAAAAAGAAAGAAAATCTTCTAAAAGGAATAAAAAATTGATACTCCCAGATGTTGGGCCACTCACACCACAAACTAAGATCTATGTCCCCTGCAAATGGCTGTTCTCCAGGGCGCTGCAGAGGAGGCATGCACTTTATCTTGCAATTGTGTGAACACAGAGGTGGGAAAACAATATATGTGAGGTCCAGGAGAAAGGCCACCAACCTCTCCAACATGAAAGAGTAATGTTTTGGGCTCCCAGCCAGGCAGAGATGCTAACCAAACGTTGCTCTTAGCATCTGTTTCTCTAATGGGGCAATTCATGAGCAGCTCAAAGCATTAAGCAGTCCCATTCATCTCCATAACACCTCTAGATGTAAACAGGTAGTAATGAGGACCGCGGTCATCCTTCAATAGAGAAAGGCATTGGTACAAACGATTAAGATGTCAGATTGTTCTGTGTGTGGTGACACAGGTTAAGGGAACTATTCTAGTTCCATAGTTTCTTCTCATTATAGAAATAAGAGGCCAGAGTTTGCTAAGTGGTAAACTTGGTTTGATTTTATTGTTATACTAGATAAAAATGTGGATTTGTATCTCCTTAGTATTTCTGGAGTAAAAGTAGACATTAGTTCCCAGGGTCTTGGAATAAAATTAGATATTGCACATTCAAATGCAATAAACCGGATCAGTTTATGAGTAACTGCTGTCGGAGGAGCCCATAGATGCAGATGACTAATTCAAATCTCAAAGCCCTTGCCTTTGACAGATGCCAAACGACAATGTTAAGGCCTGTTTATCCTTCTCACCATTCGAAGTCCAATTAGGTTCTCTCTGATTCTATTGGATTTTATGTCTTATTGGCTCTCAGATGGAGGAACTCATCTTTGGGTCATATCTCATCCCCCAGTGGAACATTAGCAACAAATCAGAAAGCAGAACAATCCATTCTCTGAAGGAACAGCGCAGTCCCCAACAGATGAAGCTGAATAGTGTCTTCATGGAACGTACTACGATTCTGAAGCTGTTAAAGAAAAGGTTGAGCCATCAGGAGCATATTAACCGAA